TTTATTGTTTTTTATTTTTAAAAAATTTTTTTTAATGTTTTTTATTTATTTCTAGGAGAGAGAGAGAGACAGTGTGACCAGGGGAGGGTCAGAGAGAGAGGGAGTCACAGACTCAGAAACAGGCTCCAGGCTCCGAGCTGGCAGTCAGCACAGAGCCCGACGTGGGGCTCGAACCCATGAACCGCGAGATCATGACCTAAGCGAAAGTCGGACGCTTAACCGACTAAGCCACCCAGGCGCCCCTTATTGGTTTTTAATAACTTACTAAATGGTTAACATGAGCCAGGCAGCATACTGTGTTTTTTCTGTATTATTTTATGTAATACTAACAAAATCTAAAAAGTAGTTCTTAGCATCAGCATTTTACAGATGGGAAAACACACTGAGGATTAGAGCAGTTAAGTGACCCGTATAAAGACACACAGCTAGGAAGTGTCTGAACTACAGATTATGGTACTGTTCAAAAAAATTTAAAAACATGAAATACTTGGACTATTCATTTAAACTATCTTTAGTATTAAAAAAGCAGATAGTTTTCCTTAGTAGCAGGGAGTTAGGGATTTTATCACAGCACAGGTAAAGGTGGAGATGTGTAAAGGTGTGAAATAGTAAGACCATCTGGACTACATTTAGTCAGGGATGTGTTGGAGAACAGTAAAATTTAAGGTTGGGTGGAAAAGGGACCATGTGCTTCTCATGTTACTCTGCCAGAGTACACTTAAGACATAGGACCATGAACTCATACTTCTAGAGTAAGGGAACATATTAAATCATAACGTTTTCAGTTGCAAGTAAAGAAATCCATTTAAATTGGGTGGAGTGGGGGCGTATTTACTGGCTCACATAAATGGAAAGTCTAAGGGTACAGCTAGCTTTAGGCACAGTTGGATCCAGTGTCTCAAGCCTCAAATCAGGGCTGGCTTTCTCTCCCTCACTCCCCAGGATAGGCATTTACTAAAAGGCAGGTAAGATGATCGTCTGTAGCCTAAACCTCACATTTTCTCAGTTTAGTAACTCCAGCAGAAAGTCTTTCTCTTAATTGGGGCAAAAATACCTTGGAGGAAAATTCAGAAACATATGCCTGCTCAAGAGCTAGTCGCTGTGGCCACACTGGCTGGTGGAGGCTGTGTCCTCACCCTTGTGAGTAGGTGATAAGGTATGCTGGGCATGGGATTAGCCTGCTCAAACTGTAGAGGCTGCATTCCCCAACAGAAAGAAGGAAGGGCAAAGAGGTATCTAGACAAAAGCAACAGACACGCACTGAGAGATAGAGTGTTCAGTGCAAGTCAAAGTGTCTTTGAAATTATATTATTTTACCTTTAAAATCCATGTAAATTTTATTTTATATGTCTGTATCTAGCTTTAATATTTCTAAAATGTTCCATGTTTGGAGTTCCCCCAGGAAATGGGTTCTGAGGGGTAAAACTTGAATTCAGTAGGTTTTATTGGGAACTGCTTTGGGAAACTCCTGTGAGCAGTGAAGGACCAGTTGAACTATGATGCAAGTGCAGCAGGCCTCAGCCACTCAATGCCACAGGGAGCTCAGAAGTTGGGATGGCTTTTCAGAGATGTCCCAAGGAAGACAAGGGGACCTGACGTGTGTACTTCCACAGAGACCAGTAATTGGGTGTGGGCTACCCCAGAGATGGGACACATCCATGACAAGGCAGCTCCTGGCTCTGAGCCCTGAGGGCAGCTCCTAGGGCAGGATTAGGCTGTGAGCCTTTGGCAGACAGCACCTCCCGCAGCAGTGGAAGAATACGTCATTCCTGAAGCGGGTGTGGGGTGTGGACATGGGCAGCTTACCACAGCATGATAATCCATCACATTATCTGTGAGTAAAATTCACTCCAGGAAAATGTGTCCTGTTTATCTGTCATGGTAAGTGCTCCCTGGCATATCACTATACCGTTTGACCAGAGGTCCCTGGAAGTACAGGTACTCTTGTTTGAAGGCCACAGCAGAGACCCTGGGAACCAATCATTGGGGAGTGAAAAGGTTAACCAAATGAGGAAGATACTGGACCAGAAAGAACAGTTGAAAGGCTTGCTATCATCAGCTTTGGTAGTAGCAGTAGGAATCAAGAAAAAAAGATATATATCTTCATCTTGCAGAAGACCACCGTATCTTCTACTGTGCCTGAGCTGTTTATCTTGCCTTTTCCTTTGGGTGCTAAAAGGACCTAGAGACCATCAGAAACTTAATAAAACAATATAGGTTGGTAAAAATGAGTTTCTCCATCATGTTTTCAACTTTTTTCATTACCTTTTGGCTTATAGATCATTGGGTAAACAATAGAGTGCTTGCTGTGGGATCAGCCTGTAAGTGACAAAGAATCCGTACTACGCTCTTGGCTATAGATGGGGAAGGTGTGTTGCTAGGATGTTGGCCTATATGTACATACTTGATCTTCTTAGGCATTAAGGTTTCAAACCAATTTATTTTGATGCTGACTGAATCTTGTTGATGTGGTTAGTATTAAAATTACTTCAGTGTTCATTTTTTCTTCTTATTTACTGATCATTATTTATTTATTTTAATCTGTTGACTGAATGAAACACTTACATCTAATGTAAGCTTGGATTGTATATTTATTTCCCTGAACTGGAGAGCACATGTTTCTGTGTAGCATAGGTAAGAGGTTTTTCCCCCACCCCTTCAGTGGATTCTGAATTTAGAGAAGAAAATTCAGATTTTCCTCTGAATAATTTTCCCTTTCAGCCTTTTAGTTTTGCTGATTGTTTCCTTTGCTGTGTGGAGGTTTTATTTTTGCTGAGCTTCCAGTAGTTCATTTTGGTTTTTGTTTCCCTTGCCTCCGGAGACATTTTGAATAAGAAGTTGCTGTGGCCGAGGTCAGAGAGATTTTTGCCTGCTTTCTCCTCGAGGATTTTGATGGCTTCCTGTCTTACATTTAGGTCTTTCATCCATTTTGAGTTTGTTTTTGTGTATAGTATAAGATGTAGTATATATATATATATATATATATATATACACACACACACACATATACATACACAATGGAGTATTACTCGGCAATCAAAAAGAATGAAATCTTGCCATTTGCAGCTACCTTGATGGAACTAGAGGGTATCATGCTAAGCAAAATTAGAGAAAGACAAATATCATATGGTTTCACTCATATGAGGACTTTAAGATACAAAACAGATGAACATAAGGGAACGGAAGCAAATAACATAAAAATAGGGAGAGGGACAAAACTAAGAGACTCTTAAATATGGAGAACAGAGGGTTGCTGGAGGGGTTGTGGGAAGGAGGGATGGGCTAAATGGGTAAGGGGCATTAAGTAATCTACTCCTAAAGTCATTGTCGCACTATACGATAATTAACTTGAATGTAAATTTAAAAATTAATAAACTTAAAAAAAATTTCTTTGGATTTCTTTCAGCTAGCAAACAGAGTGTAGGTGCTAGTGTAGGTCTTCAATTAAAGTGAAGTGGCTTAATGTAAACTTTCAGAAAATAAAATTGTGGAAACATATTCTGAAAAAAGTTAGAAGTACTTCCCCCCTCCCCCAAATTTCTTTCCTAGCAGGAGAATACATTATTTATACCACATTTTCTTCAAGTGTTCGGAGTAATTTAATGCTTTGTATATTAATACTCCTATACATTATCAAGTACAAAAAAAGCAGGTGGTGTTATTCTCATTTTGCAGATGGTCAATCTGAGATGTTGAGAAGCGAAAAAAATGGTTTAGAAATGTTTTCTATTAAGTATTATTTTCATATAAAATAAACTAGATTTCATAAGGTACATTTAAACTCAGTCCATGTGCATTCAGGCAAATAGACTCAACAAACTGTAAAATATACTAGAGTTGATTTGTTGTGAGTAGGAATGGTATAACAGATTAGTGATTAATAGCTGAGTAGATGTCTTATCAAGATTTTCTTAACATTACAAATGTTGGCTCCATGCAGTTTCAAAAGGTGGGTCATTGTGTGTCAACTGTACTCAAAAAATTTAAAAATTGAAAAAGGGTACAAACTTGTAGTTATAAAATGAATAAGTTCTGGAGATATAATGTACAGCATGTTGACTGTGGTTAGCAATATTTTCTTACATGCTTGAAATTTGCTCAGAATACATCTTAAGTGTTCTCACCACATACACAAATAGGTAATTATATGAGATGATAGAGGTAGTAACTGCAATAATTGTTTTTTGCAATGTATGCATGTACCAAATAATAAATAAGTGAAAAGCATTTTGTATATTGAAATTTATTCATGAAATTACTTGACAAGTATATATTGAGTATAAAAAGTGCCAATGCTATATTAGCCCCTGAGAATGGAATTTTTCCTCATGAAACCTAGAAGGGAGACACAAACAAATGTAAAATTACAGTGTTAATAAGGGCTACAGAGGAAAGGTGATGCTAAATGCCATTGTATAGTAGGACGATTTTACTTAATTGAGTAAAAGGGAAGGGAAGACTTTACTGAAGAATTGATGATTCTCTTGAGCCTGATATCTGAAGGAAGAGCAGAAGTAGAGAATAAATGAGACCAGGCATGGGAGTGAGGAGAGAAGAGTATCCGGAGCCAGACCACATCAGAAGTCAGCAAAAATTTGATAGTGTTTGGATTAAGGGATCTGCAGTGGAGATAAAAAGAAGAGGGCTTAGGTTATATGGAGGAAGTAATATCTGGGAGATTTAATGGATTGAATATGCGCATTGGGGGAGAAGACAATGTCAATACATTTTAGTGGTGTGAGTTCATATTGTGACAAAAGTTTAGCCACAGGCCTGGAAGGAAATTAGAACGAGCAACCCCAGTCCGTCCCTTTGTAATACTGTTCCTATTCTAGTCTATCATTGACTGAAATATATAGAGGAGTAGATTCTGTACTATCTGCTTCAATAATGCTTCTGTATAGACTTTATCTGAAGATATTTGGTAGAAATTTTAATTTGAGAAGGTAGCATAATGAAATTTTTATATCTAAATGTTTTCTTTTTATTTTAATTGATAGAATCTTAAGAAGATTCAAGAAATGGAAAAGAGTGATGAATCTAACACAGACCTGGAAGACCTGAAAAATGCTGACTGGGTAAGGATATTCTCTGTTCTGCTTAGTGTTGAATACATAGTGTGATGATTTTTAAAATGCTTGTATTAAGGGCTGTAATATGAATTGATGATAAACACATTTAAGTGTGCTTGGTTGTATTTGAGGAAATATCTTCCCCATTTTACAAAACAGATTTTATTAGAACTACCCCCGTGTCTTCTGATAACTTTGGTGTTTTAAAATACTGACCTTCCTGATTATATTACTGCCTTAGCATACTCTTGTGAGTCAGAGTTTAAGCTCTGTTTCAGGATAAGATGTGAAATTGTAGTGCAGTGCATTCATTTATCCAGTGAATAGTTACTGGATTAGCGTTCTGGAGATGTAGAATTATTCATTCTTGTATTCTGTCCTTCATAAAACAGAAGGCAGATTTCTAGCACAGATGATTACAGTGTATTTATGCAGTACACTTTGAGTAGCCACTGTTTTTCTGGCATGGTACTAGACCCTAGTAAAACCAAGAGTCCCTGCTATCCTATGTGACTTAGAGTTAGGTAGGCATGACAGCCTTGGGGACAGGAGAGTCATTGTCATGAAATCAGACTGAGGTATGTACAGGTGTCAATGGGAAGGCACATTTTAGGATTCTGAATTTTCAGGTTAAGGATACTGGTTAAATAATAACATCATTAAACGAGGGACGAGGAATAGAGGCAGATTTGGGGAATATGAACAAATTGCTTTTGACTATATTAGACTTTAATTGTTTGCCATATTCTTTTCTAACAGCTTCATTAAAGTATCATCAGCATGCAATAAGTTGTACATATTTAAAAGGCATAATTTGATAAGTTTTGACACATACATACATACCCATGAGACCATCCTCAGAGTCAAAATAATGAGCCATCCATTACCCCCAAAGTTTCCTCATACCCCTTTGTGATCCTACTTCCTTTCTCCCCATGATCTGGGGAGGAACTCATGGGAAAGTAACCCATGATCTGCTTTCTCTCACTGTAGATTAGTTTGCATTTTCTAAAATTTTGCAAAAATGTATAGTATGTACTGTTTTTTGCTTGGCTCCTTCCATTCAGCGTAATTCTTTTGAGATTTCATCCATGTTGTTGCCTCTATCTATAGTTTATTGTTGTTGTTTAACTTTTAAAAATATTTGTTTATTTTTGAGAGAGACAGACAGACTGTGAGCGGGGAGGGGTAGAGAGAGAGGGAGACACAGAATCCAAAGCAGGCTCTAGGCTCCATGCTGTCAGCACGGAGCCTGATGGAGCCTGATGTGGGGCTCAAACTCAGGAACTGCAAGATCATATGACCTAAGCCGAAGTTGAACACTTAACCAACTGAGCCACCCAGGCGCACGAGCACTTTGTTGTTTTTATTACTAGTAGTATTCCATTCCTTTGTTTGGATCCACATGTATTGATGTATGAATGTAAATATTCTTAAATTATTGATGATATCTTCACTGAGATATTTGGAATGATATTAACCTAGAACATTTAAGATTAAGGTTAAAAAATAAGTAGCCTATAATGTCTTGTTAATAGGGTTTATCATTTTAGAATAATATTGTTTATTAAGTTTCCCTTGTATAGAATACTCTGGTAGCCTTGTTCCAGGTGTATTTTATCTTGGCTAAAAATTTTAAAAACTTTTTACTTAGACTCCAGGTGGTCAGAATTTAGCGAACAGTTTAAATTTGAACTCAAAATTTAATTTATTGCCTCAAGGCAACCTCATTTAAAAACTGGTAGAATCATAAGAGATGCACTAACTCCAAAGGGAGGTCCATTTGCCTAAATCACCAGCTGCTCTCTTGTGAGACCATTAAAATGAATTATTCAGAAAGATTAGAATGAAATGAAGAAAGAATTAGAGTATCTTCAATGGTAGAATCAAAACATCTCAGGATCTGGAATGAGATAATGACAGAATCTCTGGGAGTACATAAAGTGACAGTTGTGCATTACTTTATGTGATCACTGTGACTTTTATCTCTGAATTTCTGAAAATTTTTGCCAAATGGTAATATATAAAGAACTGGCTAGGAGGAGGGGGTAAGATGGCGGAGAAGTAGGGAGCTCCATACATTGGCACTCAACCCCATATCTCACGGAAGAGATCTGAAGCCATAGGAAACCTTTCAGAACCCAAGAGATTGGGGAAAAAAGGTCGCAGAATCCACTGAGAAAGCCTTCTAATGGCTACCTCAAGAAACAAGCCAAAGTACACATGGCAGAGAGTCCCAAATATCACTATGAGTAGGAAAATAAAATAACCAAGGTCTCAACAGGAGAGACCAAGACATACCATTCAAAAAGAAAAAAACACTCTCTGAAAGGATAGGCCCTGGACAGTCAGAGAGCCTTCTTGGATATAGCAGGGCTCACAGCTACAGAGAGCATAACAAGTCTTTAAAACCAACAAAAGCCAGAAAGCTAATTAAAATGATGAAACGAAAGAGCTCTCCTCCAAAGAAATTCCAAAAAGAACTGACAGCTAATGAACTGCTCAAAACAGATATAAGCAGCATAACTGAACAAGATTTTCGAATAATAGTAAAATTAATAGCTGGGCTTGAAAAAAGCATAGGGGACATCAAAGAAACTATGGCTACAGACAAGATGGAGAAGAAGATTAGGCATGATGAATTAAAAACTGATAAATGAGATACATAATAAATTAGAGGCCTCCAATGCACGGATTGAAGAGGCAGGAAGGAGAATAAGTGATTTAGAAGACACCATTAAAGAAAAACAAGAAGCTGACAAAAAAAGAGACAAACTGATCCAGGAACAGAAAAAAAGAGTTCAAGAGTTCAGCGATATGGTCAAATGCAACAATATCCATATCATAGGAATCCCAGAAGAGGAAGGGAGAGGGAAAGGTGCTGAAGGAGTCCTGGAACAAATTATAGCAGAGAACTTCCTCAACCTGAGGAAGGAAGTAAACGTTGAAATACAAGAGTCTCAGGGGACTCCCGTCAGACGTAATTTGAATCGATCTTCTGCACGGCATATCATAGTAAAAATGGCAAAATACAAGGACAATGAGAGAATTCTGAAAGCAGCTAGAGAGAAAAGGGCCCTAACATACAAAGGGAAACCTATCAGAGTGGTGACAGACCTATCTACTGAAACTTGGCAGGCCAGAAAGAAATGGCGGGAGATCTTCAATGTGATGAACAGAAAAAATATGCAGCCAAGAATCCTCTATCCAGCAAGCCTGTCATTCAGAATAGGAGAGATAAAAGTCTTTCCAAATAAACAAAAATTGAAAGAATTTGTCACCACTAAGCCAGACCTACAAGAAATCTTGAGGGGGATGCACTGAAGGAAAGGTTGCAAGGAACAAAGATACCAGAGACACCACCACAAACATGAATCCTACAAAGGACACAAAGATTCTAAACCCACATATTTTAATAATAACACTGAATGTAAATGGGCTGAATGCTCCAATCAAAAGACATAGGGTAGCAGAATGGATAAAAAAAAAAAAATCCATCTATATTGCTGTCTACAAGAAACTCATTTTAGACTGGAAGATACCTTCAGATTAAAAGTAAAGGGATGGAGAAATATATATCATGCTACGGGAAATCAAAAGAAAGCCAGAGTAGCTATACTTATATCAGACAAACTGGACTTTATTTTTTTTTAAATGTTTTTATTTATTTCTAGGAGAGAGAGAGAGACAGCGTGACCAGGGGAGGGTCAGAGAGAGAGGGAATCACAGACTCTGAAACAGGCTCCAGGCTCTGAGATGGCAGTCAGCACAGAGCCTGACGCGGGGATCGAACCTACGAACCGCGAGATCATGACCCAAGCGAAAGTCGGACGCTTAACCGACTAAGCCACCCAGGCGCCCCACAGACAAACTGGACTTTAAATTAAAGATAATAACGAGATGAAGAAGGGCATTACATAATAATTACATGGTCTATCCATCAGGAAGAACTAACGATCATAAATGTCTATGCACCAAATATGGAAGCACCTAAATACTTAAAACAATTAATCACAAACAGAAACAAGCTTATAGATGCTAATAGCAGGGGACTTTAATACTCCACTTACAACAATGGATAGGTCAACCACACAGAAAATCACTAAAGAAATAATGGACTTGAAAGACACATTGGACCAGATGGATCTGACAGATATATTTAGAACTCTACATCCTGAGGCCAGGGAATTCACTTTCTTCTCAAGTTCATATGGCACATTCTCCAAGATAGATCACATACTGGGACATAAAGCAGCCCTTAATAAATATAAAAGAATTGAGATCATATCATGCACACTGTCGGATCATAATGCTATGAATCTTGAAATCAATCACAGGAAGAAGTCTGGAAAACCTCCAAAAACATGGAGGTTAAAGAACACTCTACTAAAGAATGAAAGGGCCAATCAGGCAAATAGAGAGGAAATTAAAAAATATATGGAAACAAATGAAAAGAAAACACAACAATCGAAACTCTATGGGATGCAGCAAATGCAGTCCTAAGAGGAAAGTACTTTGCCCTCCAGGCCTATTTCAAGAAATTAGAAAATGCACAAGTCCAGAATCTAACAGCTCACCTAAAGGAACTAGAGGCAAAGCAACAAGAACGCCCCAAACCCAGCAGAAGAAGAGAAATAGTAAAAATCAGAGCACAAATAAACAACATAGAGACCAAAGAAATAATTGAACAGATCCATGAAACCAAGAGTTGGTTTTTTGAAAAGATAAACAAAATTGACAAACCTCTAGACAGTCTTCTCAAAAAGAAAAGAGAGAGCACCCAAATAGACAAAATTATGAATGAAAATGGACTTATTTCAACCAACCCCTCAGAAATACAAGCAATTATCAGGGAATACTATGAAAAATTATATGCCAACAAATTGGACAACTTAGAAGAAATGGACAAATTCCTAAACACACACTCACTACCAAAATTCACACGGGAAGAAATAGAAAATCTGAACAGACCCATAACAAGTGAATAAATCAAATCAGTGATCAAAAATCTCCCAACAAATAAGAGCCCTGGACCTGATGGCTTCCCTGGGGAATTCTACCAGACATTTAAAACAGAATTAATCCCAGTTCTTCTCAAGCTATTCCAAAAAATAGAAGTCGAAGGAAAACTCCCGGACTCATTTTATGAAACCAGCATCACTCTGATTCCCAAGCCAGACAGATTTTTTTAAAATATTTTATTTTTTGTCTATTTCCTTGATGAATACTGATGCATAAATTCTCATTAAGATCCTTGCAAATCGAATCCATCAGCACATAAAAAGAATCATCCACCAAGATCAAGTGGGATTCATTCCTGGGTTACAGGGCTGGTTCAACATTCACAAATCAATCAGTGTGATACATGACATCAACAAAAGAAGAGATAAAAACCATATGATCCTGTCAATAGATGCAGAAAAAGCATTTGAGAAAATACAGCATCCTTCTTAATAAAGACTCTAGAGAAAGTTGGGATAGAAGGAACCTACTTAAACATCATAATAGCCATCTATGAGAAGCCCTCAACTAACATCATGCTCAACAGGGAAAAACTGAGATCTTTCCCCCTGAGATCAGGAACACGACAGGGATGACCACTCTCACCACTGTTGCTTAACATAGTGCTGGAAGTCCTAGCATCAGCCATCAGACAACAAAAAGAAATAAAAGGCATCAGAATTGCCAAAGAAGTAGTCAGACTTTCACTTTTCGCAGATGACGTGATACTCTACATAGAAAACCCGACAGACTCCACCAGAAGCCTACTAGAACTGATCCAAGATTTCAGGCAAATTGCAGGGTACAAAATCAACGTACAGAAATCAGTTGCATTCTTATACACCAATAATGAAGCAACAGAAAGAGAAGTCAAGAAGCTGATCCCATTCACAGTTGCACAAAAAAAAACATAAAATACCTAGGAATAAGCCTAACCAAGGATACAAGAGATCTGTATGATGAAAACTATAGAAAACTTATGAAGGAAATTGAAGAAGACACAAAGAAATGGAAAAACATTCCATGCTCATGGATAGGAAGAATAAATATAGTTAAAATGTCATTGCTACCCAAAGCAATCTACACATTCAATACAATTCCATTCAAAATTGCACCAGCATACTTCTCAAAACTAGAACAAACTATCCTAAAATTTGTATGGAACCACAAAAGATCCCGAATAGCCAAAGTAATAGTAAAGAATAAAACCAAAACGGGAGGTATCACCATTCTAGACTTTAGCCTCTACTACAAAGCTGTCATCATCAAGACAGTATGTTATTGGCACAAAAACAGACACATAGACCAATGGAACAGAATTGAGAGCTCAGAAGTGGACCCAAAAGTATACAGCCAACTAATCTTTGAGAAAGCAGGAAAGAATATCCAGTGGAAAAAAAGACAGCCTTTTTAACAGATGGTGTTGGGAGAACCGGACAGCAACATGCAGAAGAATGAAACTAGATCATTTTCTCACACCATGCACAAAAATAAACTCAAAATGGATAAAGGACCCGAACATGAGACAGGAAACTATCAACACCCTAGAGGAGAAAGCAGGAAACAACCTCCTTGACCTCCACCGCAGCAACTTCTTACTTGACACATCCCCAAAAACAAGGGAATCAAGAGCAAAAATAAACTATTGGGACCTTATCAAGATTAAAAGCTTCTGCACGGCAAAGGAAACAACCGACAAAACTAATAGGCAACCAACGGAATGGGAAAAGATAGTTGCAAATGACATATCAGACAAAGGATTAATATCCAAAGTCTATAAGGAACTCACCAAACTCCACACCCAAAAAACAAACAACCCAGTAAAGAAATGGGCAGAAGATATGAACAGACACTTCTCCAAAGAGGACATCCAGATGGCCAACAAAAACATGAAAGGAGGGTCAGCATCCCTCCTCATCAGAGAAATACAAATCAACACCACACTGAGATACCACCTCACGCCAGTCAGAGTGGCTAAAATGAGCAAATCAGAGAACTCTAGATGCTGGCGAGGATGTGGAGAAACGGGCACCCTCCTACACTGTTGGTGGGAATGTAAACTGGTACAGTCCCTCTGGAAAACAGTGTGGAGGTTCCTCAGGAATTTAACGATAGAACTCCCCTAGAACCCAGCAATAGCACTGCTAGGAATTTACCCAAAGGATACAGAAATGCTGATGCATAGGAGCATATGTACCCCAATGTTCATAGCAGCACTCTCCACAATAGCTAAAACATGGAAAGAGCCTAAGTGTCCATCCACGGACAAATGGATCAAGAAGATGTGGTTTATCTATCTATATGATGGAATACTACATGGCAATGAGAAAGAATGAAATCTGGCCATGTGTAGCAACATGGATGGACCTTGAGGGTATAATGCTGAGTGAAATAAGTCAGACAGAGAAGGACAAATACCATATGTTTGCACGTATAGGAGGATTAGGAGAAACTTAACGGAGGACCATGGGGGAGAAGAAGGGGGGAAATGGTGGGGGAAAGGGAGAGAGGCAAACCATGAGAGACTCTTGAATGCTGAGAACAAACTAAGGACTGATTGGTGTGGGGGGATAGGGGGGAGATGGGCATGGAGGTGGGCACTTGTGGGAATGAGCACAGGGTGTTACATGGAAACCAACCTGACAATAAACTATTTTTAAATAGAAAAAAAAAGAATAAAGAAACAAGAATAAAAAAAGAACTGGCTATATAAAAAGTCTGTTTGATACCTTTCATAAATTATAGCAAACTCTTTTAATATGAGTAATCATCCCCTCAATTATCTGTTTTAAGTACTCAAAATTTCACATATGTCAGGTATTCTTAAAGCCCCAGGCGGTCAAGAAAAGAGATTGCATTTTAAAAGATGAGATTATATTTGAACTGGATCTTAAAGGAATGAATATAAGAGAAGTAGAGAAATTGAGAGAAGACCATTCTTAAAAGGGAAACCTGAATATTTTAGGGATATTATATTAGATTATCTTTAATGGCAGAGTCTAAGGATCTGTTTAAAATAGAAATATTTTAGAAGGTGTTCTAATGGATATACCATAGTTTAAGTACCTCAAATCTTATTTGGAATAGGAAATGGCATACATTTTTTTGAAATCATAAATTCCATTTTTGAGAGATTTAGTCAGTTATTTTATACAGATAATTCTTATGAAATATATCACATGGTTTTTAACAAATATGTTTTGATAATTATTTGAGCCACTTATTAATTTTAACAAACCACAGTGTTTCAATTAAATATCATATTGATTTACTTCACTGAGGTAGAGACTGACACCTTAGTTTATAGACAGGAAGATAAAAGGATTAACTTAAAATAATATGCATATTTAGTATGTCTAATATTGTTGTAAGTACTTCATATATATCTCATTTTCTTGAGGGTTAGCAAAACAATTTACCATTATTTGTTGATAAGAAAACAGATATTAAGTAATTTGTGACAAGATAGTGATAACATAAAAATTATCATTTTTGAACATTTTCCATGTACTATATCTCAGCTCTGACCATCTCAGCAAGTTATGAAGTACTATTTTCTTTTATTGATGAGGAAGCCAGGGTTCAGAGAGGTAAAACAACTTGTTGGATGTCAGATAGCTAATAGGTGATTGCATCATTTAGCTGTGGTCACAGTAATGCTGCCTAACCAGCCACTACAGAATCACAGTCACATAAAGTAGTACATTTATGTAGCTCATGAGTGTGCAGGTCATTTGTGGTAGCTCCACTCTACATGTGTTTCGTCCTCCTGGACAGTCATGCCAATTCAGGCATAATGTTCTCATGGCAGTAGAAGCACCAGTGACACACCCATTGTGCATTTGCTTTTGCAGACTTTGGTCACATCACATCCACTACTATTCATTCTAGTGGCCAAACAAATCATAACGCCAAAACCAATGTTAGAGTGTGGGAAATACACTCATTAGTGAGCAAAATCACATAACAGGGTGCAGACATAGGAGGTATGAAGAACTGAGGCCATTAATGTAGCCTTCCACAGTGGGCGAGTTAGGGTTTATACCCCAGTGCCTCAGAACTTAGAGCTTGTGATTCTCTACTGGCTTTTTACCCACTTTTCAGTATCCTAAAATCAGATTTTAAAAGTGAGTTTTGTTTGGTTTACTCAATGTTTTGCAAGCCAAGCTCTTCATTTTTTCTATATGACTATAGCTACTGAAAGGAAACTAGTAAATTTATTCATTGGTATCTCTCGACCCTTGATTCTTTTAGGCCCGATTCTGGGTACAGGTGATGAGGGATTTGCGGAATGGAGTAAAACTTAAGAAGGTCCAAGAACGTCAGTACAACCCCTTGCCCATTGAATATCAGCTCACCCCATATGAGATGCTAATGGATGACATTCGATGTAAAAGATACACTTTGCGAAAAGTCATGGTAAGTAACAAAGAATACCATAAATAAACTCAAATGGTTATTCTTTAGTAATCTTATTTGTTAAAAATGTTCTCAGTATTTTAAAAATCATTTCTTTCCATAGAAGTAATACATCAATATTACGGAAAAGTTGAAAAATACAATAAGATCAAAGAAGAAAAGTTGCAAATGGGTAATTTCACAACCCAGAGAGGTGTTTTGCTAACATGCTTGTCTTATAACCATCTATCTTTTCTCTATACATTTTTTTTTAAATATTTTTATTTATTTCTAGGAGAGAGAGAGAGACAGTGTGATCAGGGGAGGGTCAGAGAGAGAGGGAGATACAGACTCTGAAATAGGCTCCAGGCTCCGAGCTGGCAGTCAGCACAGAGCCTGATGCGGGGCTTGAACCCACGGACCGCGAGATCATGACCTAAGCGAAAGTCGGACGCTTAACCGACTAAGCCACCCAGGCGCCCCTTTTCTATACATTTTTAAACAAAATGGATTAATATTGAATACTTTGTTTTGTAACCAGTTATTTTCACTTAACATATATAGTATAACATTTTCCATATCATTATGTGTTCAACATCCTCACATCTAAATGACTACCTCTTTTCTAGCTTCATGGCTATACCAGTTTATTAAACCAACCAACTTATATTAAGTTGTGGCAGCCTATGCTGTATATCCTTGCATATATAAATGTTTTTGAATACCAACAGTGAAATCTTTGAGTTAGGTTCTTAGAAGTGGAATCTTGACAGTACTACCTCTGAAATATGTCCTGAATGTGACTGCCACTATCTCTTAATCACACTATTACAGCAACCTCTAAGTAGGCTTCCTATTTTCACTCTTGACCCTCTTAGTCAATTTTTCCCAAAAACAGCCAGCGTAAGCCTCTTCAGGTAAAAATATGATATCTTTTTCCTGTTCAGAACTTCCCGTGGTTCTCCATCACACTCATAACAAACTCCACATCCTTACCTTGGCTTCAAAGCTCTATGGAGTCTGGTGCAGGTTACCTTTCAGACGTTATCTCCTACCTCCCTTCCTGGTTGATTTTTCCTCCTTAGCCATGCTGGTCTCTGCTGTTGTCACGTGTTCCTGCAGCAGAACCTGTGCTGCCCCTTTTCCTGGCACTCTCTTTTCTCACACATCTGTGTAACTTGCTGGAGTACATTTTAGGTCTCTGCTTAAATGTCCCCTCATTAGAGAAGTGTTTGCCCCCCTACTCACATGTGTCAGTAGCACACAGTGTCATGTATTTTCAAATTTGCTGTCTGTCTCTCTTACCATTACAGGAACTTAGTTCTTTCACTGTTATATCCCCTGTGACAAGACCATGTGCCTGACACCCAGCCAGGTGCTGAATACTGTGCCCAATAAATAGTTGTGGGATAAATTAATGAATTATAGATGGGAGATGAATTAATGAATTATATCCATTTTTTTGAGAAAATTTAATCAGAGTTATTTTATGTGGAAGATATTTATTTTGAGAGAGAGAGGGAGGGCAAAGAGAGGAGAGAGAGAATCCCAAGAGGGTTCCACACTAGTAATACGGCGCTTGAACCCACGAACCCACGAGATTGTGACCTGAACGGAAGTTAAGAGTCGGATGCTCAACTGACTGAGCCACCCAGGCACACACAAGAGCATGTGACTCTTGATCTCTGGGTTCAAGTCCCACATTGGGTCTAGAGATTACATAGATGATAGATAGATAGATAGATAGATAGATAGATAGATAGATAGATAGATAGATAGATAGATAATATATAGATAAACTTAAAAAATAGATTTAGGTAGCTGTTTGAGCTCTTTGTTAATTTTAACAAGCTGCAATATTGCAGCTAAGTATTGCAGCTAAATATTATATTGACTTATTTCTTAATAAACCTGATTTCTCTTACAGATGAGGAAACTGAAGTTTAGAGGTGCTTTGTAACTTCCCGTGTTCAGACAACTAGTTAGTTATAAGGCAAAGCCTATCTTCATCCCCATTCTGTCAGAACCTGTGCTGTATGCTACACACATGTAGCCAAATTGCCCTTTAGTTACATCGTGATGATTAATATTTACAACACAGTAGTTTTGCCCATTTCTTCATATCTTTGACCAAAGTTGGTATCTTTTGGGGTTGAAAAATTTGACTGGGGAGAATACTCTTTTATTTTTAAAATCCATATTTCTTTGAGGGCGCCTGGGTGGCTCAATCGGTTAAGCATCCGACTTCAGCTCAGGTCATGATCTCGTGGTTTGTGAGCTTGAGCCCAACAGCTCAGAACCTGGAGCCTGCTTCAGATTCTGTGTTTGCCTCTCTCTCTGCCCCTTCCCCACTCGTACTCTGTCTTCTCTCTCATAAATTAATGAACATAAAAAAATTTTAAATCTATATTTCATTGGTCACAAGTACATTTAAACATTTAAAAATATGTGCCAGTTGTATATTTCTTAATTTCATTTTAATTTAACAAATATTTATTAGGTACTTCTCATGTTCCAGGCACTATTCTAGACTCTGGAAAAAGGACATAACATAGTCCTTGTTCTCAGGAAGTTTAAAGTATGGTGGGAGCCACTGGTAATTAAGCAATACAATACACTGTGTAAGCTCAATATAACAGGCTATATGGCAAAAAACAATGTACAAAGACCAAGAAATGATGGGATTTGACATAAGAAAACTACCAAAATTCCCCATAATTGGAGTATAGAATGGAAGGTAGGAAATTGTGAGGGCCGGAGTTGGCAAGGAGGGTGGGGAACAGCTCACATACTGGAGTTCTCAGGGACAGGGCAGAGGTAAGAGGAGAGATCAGCTTTGGAACAGATCCCGGGAAGCCTTAGCGCTTTAGAGATAGCAGAGGAAGGTGGTCAACAGATTGAACAGATGTAGCTAGAGAAGAAACACGGTCAGGAAAAATGGGGTCACAGCTGCAAAGGGAGGTAGCATTTCAGGAGGCAGAATGCCGCTGGCAGGTCAGACATTTAAGCATTAAGAAATATTTAACAAATTTAGCAACATGGACATGATTTGTATCTTTTATTAAGTAAAGATTGTAGGGTGGAAGTGAGGAAGAGGAAACCGTCTGAGTGTGCCTTTTTAAAGAAGTTTTTAAAAAGAGATCAAAGGGTAGCTAGCGTTTGGAGGGCACATGGGGCTAAAGAATGTTTTGTTTGGTAATAATGCTTGGGAAAGACTGTAGGTTGTAGGGAAGGGGAAAGTAGAGCATTAGAAGCTAGGGGTGGGGTTTGGCAGGTTGCAGGGTCTAAAAGAAGGTGGGGGGGGGAATCAGGAGGAGTCTGCTTTGATTCCTTCCATGTGTGCGGGGCCTCCCCTCCCCCCACCCCCACTCCTACCCTTGTCTTGGGGACAATCTGCACACTCTTCTTTGCCTTCTGTCATGCCCTAAACACAGACATTCCTCAAGATTTGGCTCCTCCAGAGTTCTTTCATGGTCTACATTTTCTCCCTTAAAACTTAAAACTTTGGTTATCACCTATACTTCAGTGTCTATGTGACTGCGGTTCCAACTGTCTTATACAGTCTCTGCTGCCTTGAGTGCTTTATCTATTTCACACTTACTCAGGCACCTCTTCCAGGGTTTCCTAAACTAAGTATTTCCAAGACTGGTCTCAATATTCTGTGTCCCCACATTTGCTCTTCTTGTTGTGTTCATGTAAGATCATCATTCTTCAGCTCTCCTGGGCTAACATCTTTCGTTATCAGTTTGAGATCTTTTCTTTGTTGCTGTCTTTTAAAAATGACTTTTAGTCAATCAAATGCTTTACAATAAATAAAATTGTCTACTTCACACTTTTTAGGAAAATAGACTTTTCCTGAATATAAAAGTAATTATCACAATTTTTAAAACTTCATCAATGCAGATACAAAAAAATTACAAAGTAGAAGCCTCTGCAGTCATAAAATGCAGCGGTGACCACTGTTAACACCTTTTTCTGTAAGTTTACACACACCTTTTTTTTCCTCTCCTTTTCTCTTCTTACATCCAGTTAATTGTTAGGTGTTCTTAATTCATTCTATAGTATCTTTTACGTCACCTTCCTGCCTCTGTTCCAGTCCCCTCCAACCTCCAGTACTTGATACTGCTACTGGATTAACCCTTCTGAGGCCCAGCCTATTTCTTGTCAACTTTTTGTGTCCTTCCACTGTCAAATCGTAACCTTAAAGTCCTGTAAGCGTGCACACGTGTGTGCAAGAGTGTGTTTCTATGAAATTTTATCACATTTGTATATTTGTATAACTACCATCAGCAGATACAGAACTGCTCCATCACCACAGGACTCCTGTGTGCAGTCTCTTTACAGCTGCATCCATCCCTCCTCCTCTCTCTCCCATCCCTAACCACTTCTCTGTTACCCAGCTCCTTAAGTTTGTTGCTTCAGTTACATTATCTAAATGGAATAGTACAGAATACAACCTTTTGAGGTTGGCTTTTGTTACTCAGCACTCATTCCTTGAGACCTATCCAAGTTGTGCCTATCAATCATTCACTCTTTTTTTTTTTTTTTTTTTTTTTGCTGAGTAGTATCCCATCATATGAATATAACATAGTTTGCTTAACCATTCACCTGTTAAAGGGGCATATGGGTTGTGTCTGATTTGGAGATATTCAGAATAAAGCTGCTATCATCAGTTGTGTACAGGTTTTTATATAGGCATAAATTTCCATTTTTCTGGGATAAATGTCCATGGTGTAACTGCTGGGTCATATTGTAAGGACATACTTAGTTCTATAAAAAATGGCCAAACAGTTTTCTAGAACGGGTGTATTTCCATACATTGTACAAAGATTTACTTTAATTTTATTTAAAATTTAAGTTTTATTTGGGGTTTTATGCCACATACTGGTGATTTAAAGATGAATGTATGGTTCCATTCTCACAGTATAGTTAGGAGACCAATATAGAATAAGTGAAAGATTGGTGGTACGTTAGAGAAGAGCCAGCTCTTTCTGAACATGTTAAAGGAGGCTCCAAGGAAA